ACATAACTCGTCTGTCACCTCCCCTCGCCTTTTAGGGTGTATCCAACCATTCAGTACTGTGCAAGCTGCCGATTCATCAGGTGTGAGCTGAAGGGCTCATCGAGTCCAATGTCCCCCAAAAGGTTCATAGTACATGTCTACGATGGCTTTTGGGACTTCTGGGGGGGAATTGGGCATGGAAGGGGTCATGGGAGACATCTCTTTAGGCAGCGTGATCAGAATGTCAGACCATAAATAGGCCTCCTCATCGGGTACCTCTTCTAATGTAACAGAAAAAGGCTTACCTGCTCCTCAGGACAGCAGTTGGTCGCCAAGCCACTCGGGGCCCTGAGGCAGGACTTGGTTGCTTTTGGATGAGGTGGGGGAGGAGGACTCTCTGTCCCCTTTTTGGCCTGTTTGATCCTTGTGGGCGATTGAATGCAGCATTGTAACCTCCCATCTATCCTCATGCTTATCCTCGGACCCGACAGTACTCCTGGTCATCTGGAATGGTGGCACACATGCTGACTTGCCAGGGAGCTCTGCACCGTTTGCTGCCACATTCTGCGTTCCCAAGGCTACTGAGCAGGAGGGGTCCCCCTAGGTCCTAGTCTCAGCTGCTTTGCCATCGACCATGATCCATTCTTTCCCGTTGGGGCGACTGGGCCCAGTCTGAACCTGGCGAGAGGGCCTCTCCGTTGCATCCAGAACTCTCCTCATAGCACCAGGCAGGGGTTCCTGTGAGATGGCCCCTAAGGGTTCTTTGCCAGGTGCAGAGTGCACCAGGTGGTGGCAATCCCCTTCTATGCCATCAGGGTTTGGCGATTCTTTTTCCTTGTTTTCTTTGATATTGAGTGCAGCAGAAGAATGAATATATTGTTCATACGGTGTACCTACATATGTAGTATAAGTCCGACCAGCGACAGGAGAGCTCGTACTGAAAGAAATTAAGTCCTTAGCCGATGTCATGGAATCACTTAGTGCAACGCCAGCTCGTCTTTTGACGCTTTGTCCTTCTCCTCCTTTACCTCCTTGATTTTAGTGTCTTTTCTGAGTGCTTCCTCTTTTTCTGCTTTGGCGAGTAGCTGGCATAGGCGTTGCATGGGGAGCTTCTTGCGTGGGAATAGCTTGATGGGAATCCACTTTGACCTGTCCTCAGGACATTTATGGTCCTGTCCTCACCCAGTATTTCTGCAATTGAAGCATCACTTCTTGCTGCGCAGCTTATCGATCTCCATCAGCTGGCCTGCTCCATTGTACATCACCCCCATGGCATCCTTCTTGTCCCTGGAATTCCCAGAACTGCTGGCTTTTCTGGAGGATGGGTTTTGACCGCCTCGACCCGAACTATTCGGTTGGCTTGGGGAGGACTTACCAGCTTGCTTCTGTGCTAGCCCATATTGATAATTGGCGAGGAACCGGCAGTGGTGCGGTCATCTTGGTGGGCACTGCTGACTCCTTTCCTCTGTCAGTTTTAGAGGGTCCAGTGCCTTCGTCTTGGGCCCATTCATCTCCCCCACCCCCCACTTCGAGCACCTGTGTTTCTAAGGGATGTGGCATTCGGGTGGGCCTCCGGTAAGCTGTGCACCCCAGCTGTGGGTCTTCTGGGTGACACAGGTTCCATACTACAGCTGCCCTGTGCCACATGTCTACTTTGACGATGTTTTTCATCAGCAGGGCGTCCCCCATTGCCCTAGCCTCGAGGTAATCTTCTCCTGCTTCTGTGAGGAGCCACTGAGCATCTCTTATCATGTCTTCTGCGATTATTTCATATAACCCTGAGAATTTGAGGAATACGAGAACTGCCCACACATACTGCACCTCTCTAGTGAGAACCACTCTCACTTGCCTCATCACTTCTGCTTTGATGGCAGCGTTGGGCAGCCTCCGTGGCATACCAGCGACGTCTCCACTCAGCGAGGTCGGAGTTCTCTTTGTCGAAGATTTCAGCAAGGAACTGATGTCTTGCTTCTTCTCGTCCGCTCTCATCTCCAGTTCTCCAGAGGGCATATCGGAATCGTATTTTGGCAGCACCAATCCTTCAGAAGGCCTCCTCATCCGTGGTGTCGGGCTTGAGGGGAAGACTGGGGAGGTCCTGGAGGGTGATAAGCTCTGCATTTTGGCTGCGTGCGCTCCTTGTTCATGCTCTGTCCATTCGGGCCTGTCCTTCTGGGGTGAGCCGGGCAGTTCGAAGGTCGAAGTTGGACTTGACGAGCGCATGGTACTCATCGGTCCATAGTCGCTGATTGAAGGGGACAGGGGCAGTGAAGGCTCACAGTGTGACAGATGGGGTGAAAGCGGGGACACTGGGGAGTTCATTGGTGGAGGCAGCTGTTCCAAGGGTATCTGGGTTGCACGCCTCGATGGTGTCCCAGATGCGCTGCTCAGTTCTGGCAGGGAGGGCAATGGTTTGCAGGACAGAGGGCCCCTCAGCCCCTGTGCCTCAGTTGGTACTCCAGCCACAGGAGTTTCTTCCCTGGTGAAGACCCAGCCAGTGCTAGGGTACCAGGTGACAGGTATCTCTTGCCACTCTCCGCCACCGCCTGGCACCACTCGATGTCCAGTGGTGTCTGGATCATTTGCGCCAGTGGTAGTCACGGCAGAGGCCCCAAGACCGAGCTCTCCTCCATCCTCTTCAAAGTCGTCTCTGCTTCGGATTGCGTGGGTGTCTGCCTCTGCAGCAAGCCACTCACTTCTGGTATAGAGATCAGACCCTTCTTCTTCCGTGACGCCGTCGAGGAGGTCTTGGAGCCTTGTCCTTTTGAACTCGTCGAGATCGCCATCGCTTTCTTCATCTTCTTCCACAGGCCTTCCTTCTTCTCTTCCATCGGAAGGGAGGCTGAAGAGGCCTGGAACGGGAGTGTCACTGTCTCTGAGATGGATTCCTCGTATGTCAGTGATATCGACAGAGGACGCTCGGGGAGTTGGGGTTTGTTCTTGGGGTGTGATAGGTCGTCCATCATGAAGGGTTGGTTGCACTGGGATGTGTGGATATGGGACTACAGGGTAAGGAATGGGAAGGTGCAGAACATAATGAAAGGGTAGTCTCGCCCTCCTGGTATGTCAGCAACACTGATACAGTTGTCTGATAAGAACTACTGATGCAGCTATGACAAAAAGTCCCAGGACAATAACAACAGTAGGAAGGAATTCAGTAAGGAGCATGAAAGCATGCTGACCAATGTGAAAGGTGTGGTCTTAGCAACTTTTCAGCCCAGTTAAAAGGAACAAGAATAACACGTTGGTCACCATCGTATACAATGATGAGGAACATTGGGGTGAGCTACGGCTAAATGTTAACAACCAACTAAATCAACTTAGATCAAACAAGGATTGCCACTCACAATTTGGTGGAACGATTCTCTTGCAGGCCAAAGTTAATAGTAAAAGTTAGTTGCGAACTTAGATAGTTGCATAACAAGGAGTACAGTGATGGGTAGATTAAACCTTAGCCATAGCTGGGGTTTAAGCCAGCAGAGGCTACTACTTAAATACACTATGGTAGCACTAATAATAGTACTTGTGAGAAATCAGATATGGTGTGATCACATAGTAGTAAGCAGAAATGACTAAGAAAAGGAAAAAAGTGTAACACTCCTACTAGGAGTATAAGAGAACTGAAGGTGCAGGCAAATATGAGGGCAGTTTGGTCTGAAGAGTTCATACAGTCACCATCATTGAACAATGATGAGGGTATTTGAAGGCAAGCTTTGGCTAATTGTAATGCACCAACTCAACTAGCAAGGTGGGTTCTTTATCTGTCACTCATGTTCGGTGAATCAGAGTAAGAGATGTGTTGCAAGCCACATTTTAAGTGATGTTGACTTCTTAGTCCACAAGCAGGAGCTCAAGTAAAAGTTGGGAGTGTATAACCTTAGCTGAAGCTGGGGTTTAAGGCCACAGCTGAGGCTGGCTTAAATACATGTAAGTCATACTTAAAAATAGTGTACTGTCCATAGTTCTCACATAGAGAAATATGGCTCTCAATGAATGAGCATAAAGAGTGTATGAGGCTGGAGTGCTGGCAGCTCCAGAGTGTGTCAGCACTCTACTCCAGAGCAAGAGTCATGAAGCAGACATCTGATTGGAACCCCATAAAAGCTGATGGGAATGATGGTGCATAGGTGTTAAGCACTAACTCTAATCTAAACCAAAGCATGTCCTCTATCCTGACACTCGTGTTCAGTGATTCAGTATTAGAGGGTCTTTGGCAGATTGTGAGAAGTTAGAATATCACTTAGATAGCAGGAGCAGAGAGCTTGTAAGAGTTAGGAGTGTATAACCTTAGCCAAAGCTGGGGTCTAAGGCCACAGCATAGGCTAGCTTAAATACATGTCTGACTCATACTAAGAATAGTGTCTATAGGAGGCATGTGCAGTGAGAAGAGCGCTCTGCAGCGAATGATGAGGGAGGACACTAAAAGAAGTGTGCTCCCGACGAATGAGAGTAAAGAGCACATATCTCCTATATCAACGCAGGACTCTGTCTGAATAGACCATATCTCATGGACTGCCCTCAACTAGTGGCCTACTCCTGTCCAACCACTAAGAAGCATGATGGTACATGTGGAACATCAGTCATCTGGGATATGGCAGCTGTGAACTGGGGTGATGGCAACCAGGTAAACGGGTAGGAGATATGCTGGTGAAATATTGTAGGTCCATGAGATAAGATAGGTCAGTCTGGGGTTCTAAGGGATAAGGATAAGATAAGATAAGAAAAATAGGAGTAAAATCATAATAATAAGAGTTCCAGGAGATCCTGGTACTAGGTGCTGAGAGATAAGATAAGATAAAAATAAGATCAGATAAGATAAAATAGGGTGAAAAATAGGGATGAAACCATGACAAAAAGAGGGGGAGTGCTAAGGGAATGATTGAATCAACAGACAGCAAGCTATCCAGTGCAGCCTTTCCTATGATGACAGATGATAGCTTGATGATATCAAGGTCACAGTTTGCAAGCCATCTTGTGTGTTATAAGTAGATGTGTTCTAAATTGAAACTGATGGACAAATACCTTTAGTTGAATAAGCTAAGATAGAATACAACAGTAGATAAGCCTTGTTCTTTAGTCAGCCTAAAGTAGTGAAGAAGTGCATAGTAGTAGCAGCATGGGATTCCTAGGTTTATTCCTATTATGCAATCACAAAGGGTATGCTCCATGTCAAGGACAGCAATGAAATGAATGGACTCAGATGCATAGTAGGCAATCTTGAATAACCCTGAGCACAACCATCCATGCGTAGCAATAAAACAGAGAAGGTATTTTGTAGACAGCTTGATGTTATCATCTTCAAATGTATTGAGGAGATTCTGTGAAAGATAGTACATACTGTATGTACTTGTATGAATGAAACCAGGAACCCCTTGTTAGCAGAAGTCAGGGTTAGCAAGATTCTGTCATATGGAGAAAATATCTGTACTGTGGTGTGGTTCAAGTGGGGAAGAGCATGAATGCTATGGTTTTGGCCAAGCTTCAAGTGATTGAGATGTGATTGATGTTTGATGATATAATAGATTTGTTTGAGCTTACTTTTCATAGCTCAACAGCATAGTTTACAATGTAGTGATGATGTGAAATGATACAAGTGTTGATGGCCATGTATGGCAGTGATGGCATTGATTGCAGTTGCAATGGTAAATTCTGAGTGAGTGACTATTCTTAGTTACTCACTTTAAAGGTCTGAAGCTTAGTTCAGAGACTCTCAAGTTGATTGGTTGTTGATCTGTAATGTGGAGTAAAAAAGCTACTCATTCAGATGTTTTATTCAGTATTTATACACTTTTGTAGTCTACGTGTCCATGATGTGTCTCTGCATGTTTATCTAATGATGATGTATTGCCATGTGGACATTTTCTATTCATCCCTCAGTCCATTGTTTATCAGGCGGTCTGGTATCAGCCCTAACATTCTGCATTATGGATTTGTGAATGAAACAAGCTTATTATCTGGTGTTACGTTTCTTGAATAGGAAACCAAACATGGAGCCAGCCATCAGGCTGGCCGAAAATTTGGGATGGGATGCTTCCCTGAGATGAAATCCACCCCCTATTATGCATTACAGTTACAGTTTTAGAAAATGAAATGACCCCAGCATTATACATTATGTTTCATTCATACAAGTACATACAGTAATCAGCTACTGCAGGCTTCTTGCTCCCAGTGAACATCATTCACCTTTGATGCATTGATGAGACAAGTTGTGTCATCTTCTGCTAGGGCATAATGTACCAGAGAGGGTGCCTCAGGTACATTCAGAACAACAAGGACATTCTATAAAGCTATCAGTACATATTATAGTATGAGCTGTACAGTGAATCACCAACCCAATGTGTATAACCTGCTGGAAGAGGTACCTGTTCGACATTGTAGAAAACAGAATGCTCTATTTGTTTGTATAATTTCTGAACAGCATACAAGACACAGTTTCCCTGAATCAACTTCAATGGTTCTGCAAATAGCACATCTATAGCTGAAGGGTGTTGTGCTTGTGTTGTCTGAATCAATTGTGAGCAATTTAAGATGCTCCAATAGCATATAGATACATATCTGTTGAACATGTAGGGTTTCCATGTCATCTTGACCCTCTGTTCTCTTGATAAGCCCACTGACAAGATCAAAGAGTGTTGTTTTGATATCACCAATACTCTTGTTAACTCTATTCTCACTCTCCACATGACCTGACATATGGACACCACATGTAAATCATGTAGAGATTGAGTACTATGCCCATTGTTTATGATTAGGCTATAAATTGTGGTCAAGGTAAGATACTACTCCTAGATAATCAGCTAGGAGCTGTCGCCAGGCAAGTTCAAATGCCTCTAGTGATATCATATAATACATATTCTAAAATGCCTTGTGAAATGGCTGAAAGAGAGGACCAGGCACTGGTGTGACATGCATAATGATATTGCCATCAAGATAATGGAGACATTGTCCATGAAACACAATCTTGGTCAGAGAATGATGAGATACTGCTGAGAGAAGACCACTATCATAGTCTGAAAAGAATGATTGGTCAGAATAGGATGGAAGCACAGAAAAAAGATGGTTCAGAGCCCATTTGTGCTCTTCTGATGTCTCGCTTGTATGCAGTGAGTATGCAAGGTTTTGTGTTGAGAAAAAGTGGTCAATGCAGACAAAGATATTCAATGGAAGATTATACTGATTTCATTGCAGAGCAACATCATTGATAATAATGTCACCGACCTGTTGACCCAATTCCACCTGTGTTGGGGTCATAAAGAATAGTCAACAAAACTCTTCTGTGATACTGTCAATCTTGAAATGTACCATCCAACAATCATCAGCTGCTTTTAACTCAGTCAATCTCTGAACAACAGCAACCATGTCTCTACCAAGGTTTTGTACAGCATTAGAAGCTTCATGGCAAGAGTTGTTCATAAGATTTGCAATCTAGCGAAGTGATAATGGATGATCAGGGAAATGTGAAGGAAGAAGTGTTACAATGTCAGAGCAAGTGAGCATTTTGAGTGGTACCAGAGTTCATATCATCTCTTTCTGAGCTTCAGATGGAAGGTTGTAGATGAGAAGGTTGTCATTATGGGTGGTTGGATGATTATGGATAAAGTCAACAGATGTGAAGTGAAATGTATCTAATTCTGCAGAGCATCAGATATTGACATGAGCAGAGCATCCTGTACATTTACTTTTGCTTTTTTGGAAGTCTGATGGATCTATGCTATTTTTATAAGAAGACTGAGGACTTCCATGACAGTTGCATCAAATTCAAAGTTGCTTAATAACTTCTAAAATGAATAAGAATGGAATAACAGTGCTGCCTCAAGTGTATTGAACATCATTGCCTGCAGTGGCCACTGTGGATCTAAAGGTGCACTTGTCAGCTTGGATGGAGATCCACTGTCACAGTATACGTTGAAGTGGACGTAGATGGTTACATGAGGTTGCAAGTTGCTTGCTGTTTGGCCAGATGTGAGATGGGATTGAGGTTGTAAAGAGGATGTAATATATCTAGAGATAAAATCAGTACATGCAACGAAAAGACCACTTACAGGGCTCAAAAGAGAAGGCTCAGGGCTTGCTCAATAGCTCGGTGCTCGTGGTATAAGGCAAAGAAAAAGTAAAAATCAAATTTAGATGTCAATCAAATACAAATGTGAAAGAGGGGGTAGCCGCACACGTTCTCTCGCATCGCCAGAGCCCATAATTGATAGCCTCATGTATGTGAATATATTCTATAACAAAATGTGTCAGAAGAAAGTGAATACCTAGCTCAGTTACCTTGGCTGCAAGCAAGATTAAACCACCTGGGATACATGCAACTATGGCATAGGAAGAGGTGCTGCCCTGCTCAGCATATGAACGGTGGCCTATGCCATCGTTTCTCAATTCCCAGCATGCTCTGAGGTGATGTCGTCTGCCATTGGCATTGGTCTTCGCGTTGGATGGGGTAGGGAGGGGATTGATGATAAAACTCAAAGAAAGAAAATCAGAAATGGAATATAAAGACAAAACGAACCAATATATCTATACAACGTTCATACAACCAGTACCAATCCTTCTGCCAGCATTCGAAACAGCTCTTTTGTTGGTGAGGTGAGCTACCTCAATGTTGGTGTCTTGGTCTTGAGCATTGATGCCTAAAAGGTAAAGGCATCGAAAAGCATGCTCATTGGTCCTAGAGCTATGCAGTGTCACATTGAGAAGAATATGGAGCTGTGAAAGAGAAAAGCCATGAAAGAAATAGAGATGATGGTGGAAGAGAAGGAAAGACATGTAGCAAACTGAAAATGGAAGTATGAGTCAGCCAGCCTGAGACGTCCAGTCTACGAGCATGGCAACTCATACTACCACACCGCTCTCTGAACATGGTATGGTAGAGGCATATTTTGATAACAAATAGGAAGATCTGAGCAAGAAAGCCTGTTTTGATGGCATGGACAGATTGTCATCAAGAGCTATGTCTGAATCTGACTCTGAATCCATATCCAGTCCATAATCCTCACTATTGTTAGGATCGTGCCAATAGGATTGCGGCAGTAAGTGCACGTAGCGGGATGCCGCGGGATGCGTCGGGCGTAGGCGAAGCTATTAACAACGTCACCCCTGAGCCGAAGCCCTAAGATGGATACGGACGGAAGTCCGCAGAGTGACGGAGACGAGGTAAAAGATAAGTCCAACGGATCGGAGTTCCGCGGACTGGAGAACGAGAGTTTAGACTTAGAGTCAGAGAGAGAGAGAGATTGGGCTGAACCAAGTTGATATTCGAACTGAGTATCTACAGTGTAATTCTAAGGCTTATATACCAGTTAGGAGTCCGATCTAGTTCCTACTCAGAGTGGTCTACATTCTAGGGTTGTCGGAGGATGTATTCTACCGGTCGGTAGCCGATGGGGTCCGATGACATGTTCGCTACCGATGTCGGGCTATTGATAAATTAATATGGAGAAGTGAAATATAAAATGGAATATGAAATGGAATATGAAATAGAAACTGGGAATCGGAATCCGTAGGCTTCCGGGCTGTGGTTTGTTGGGTTGAGTGGAAGTTGGGTTTCTGTCGGCATGCTCGTTACAGTATCCCCCCCTTAGCGTTCTTGCCCTCAAGGACGCAGATCCCGATGGCCGAGTGTGACCGCGTGGAATTTTTTCTGGTTGGTCACGTGAGTTTTCAACTCTTGACCTGTAACCACCACCATCTCTGTGTCTTTCCCTAACTCCATCATCAACATTTGCTATGTCTTCTAACGTTGAGTATCGTTTGTCCGTAACTCCCGAGCCCTATGAGCCCGCCCCGACACCCGACAATCTTCGCCCGGACGAACTAGAAGTTTTCTTCGATGAGCGGGACGCCACGGAAAAAGCGAGGGAGGACGCCGCGGAGGCCCATGAAGCCTGGAAGGCGCAAAAGCTGAAGGAGGAGAAGAAACAGGCCCAGGAGTTGGAGCGGCGGGAGAAGAAGTTGGCACGAGAGAAGCGGGTTGCCGAAGCCAAGGCGAAAAAGGAGCAGGAGGAGCGGGAGGCCGTGGAGAGGAAGCGACAAGAGGAAGAGGCGGAAGCGAAGCGATTGGAAGAAGAGGCAAGGGCTTTGGAGGAGAGGAAAACCGCAGAGAAGAAGTTAGCGGATGAGGCCAAGGCCAAGGCATTGGAGGCTCGAAAGGCCACGGAGGCCGAGAAGGAGCAGGCAAAGGAGAAGGAAGGTGGCAGTGGGGGGAGCAAGGTTGGTAGCGGGTCCGACGGAGATGACGAGCGGGAAAAGGACCCGAAGGGGAAGGCGTTGAAAAAGTTGGTAAAGCAGAGGAAGGATAGGAAGGGTAAGGGTAAGGCGACGGATTCGGAGGCCGCAGGGAATTCAAAGAAGAGGAAGGCCAAGTCCAGTGCGGTGGTATTGAGTGGAGAGGAGGAAGTTGCAGGGCCGTCAGGGTGGCCGTTGAAGAAGTTGAAAACCGAGCCTGAGATGCAGGCGGATGACGAGGAATATAAGGATAATGGTAGGCTTCCCCGCGGGTTCCGACTATTTTGCTGACTTGGTGCATAGAGCGTTGTGGACATTGTAAGGCAGACAACGTAAAATGTTTCATTCGCTGCGGGCGTACTTGCGAACGGTGCAAATTAAAGAAGAACAAGTGTGTGTTTCCACAAGGTGAAAGTTCGGGATCTGCGGGGTCCAGTGAGGTCATCGACCTCCTACAAAAACTTTGCGACAAGATGGATGATTTCCAGGAAGGCTTGGAAAGGGTAGAGGGAAAGGTGGATTTCCTTGGAAGCCGTGTCGATGACTTGGTCGACGATTTTCATGAGGGTGATGCTCCGGAATGGCCGTCGGATTTCGTCGAGGAGGAGTTTAGAGAGGAATGGGCAGCGTCTAAGGTCGAGCTTGGAAACCTCAAGAACGTGAACTCGGAGGCCCTACGGATCGCGATGCGTATGCGACTTGACAAGGACGTTGCCCAGTTGTGGAATGCCCATGTGATGGGTACCGAAACCCTCGATGCCACGGATCCCTTCGAGGTCGCCAACATGCAAGTTTGGTATGGCTGCCTTGGGAAAGATGGTCTTCGATTGGCCATCAAACGTCGCGACCATTTCTTGGACGCAAGGGACAAGTTCTATTCACTCGGAGGCCGTTGGATTGAGTGGGCGTTGTGGAAGAGGTATTTGGAGGATGCGGATGAGTTTTTGGTAGAGGATTCCGAAGGGGAATTGGATCCCGAGGAGAAGAAGAGGGATGAGATGTGCCCGGGCGCGGGTGCCATCGGCGTTCCGGCACTGGATGAGCTGGAGCTTATTGTTATGAGTGATGAGGAGGAAGGAAGTGGAAGGGAAGATAGGGTGGACGAGGATGTGGTGATGGGAGAGTTGGTGCATGCGGAATCCTAGGCGCGGTTCTTGGACTTGTATATTTTTTGGATGTTGTCTTGTACACGGATTTTGAAAGCGCGGGCCCCGATGGGCATAAATATATATATATATCTTGGCTTGTAGGCTTGAGTGAGTAAGAGGGAGAAGGAAAGCAAGAAATAGGCGTCCGATGGGTTCCGTTCCCAATTAGGAAGGTAATTTGCAATAGTTTTCCAGGATTTGATTTGAAATTCGAGGAGCGGAGACTGTAGGGAGCCGATAAGTTATGGGTAGGTCAAGATGCAATGGGCGAGGGTTTGAGAGAGGCTTTGCGGATGGTGACTTTGGATAGCAGTCCTGGCTTGTCTGGGTAACATTGGT